CCCGAAAGGGTACGCGATGCATTGTAGAGCACGGCGTGGCATGGTGTAGAAAAGCACCGCAAAGCGTAGTATCAACCTAACATTGCTTTGCATGCCGTGGCATGGCACGGGAAGTGACGCCAGCGCTGCAGCGGGAACACGAGTCGGAACGAGCGGAAGCGCGGAAATGAGGCCAGCACTGCAGCGGGAGCACGATTCGGAACGAGCGGAAGCACGGAAATGAGCACGATTCGGAACGAGCGGGGCCCGAAAATGAGGCCGGCGCCTCAGCGAGAGCAGCATTTTGGAAAAAATGCAGGCGAAAACCCAACTCCGGGGCATCCTGTTTGTAATAAACCAGTACGCCGGTGGGGCGAATACTTTCAAACCGTCATCAGGGGAAGAGGGAGAGTAGTATTCAGATTGAGTAATTGTTGAAGAGAAGGAGGGGGAGTCGGAGGGGGAGGGGGAGAAGGAGGTAGCATGCGGCCCTGGCTGTGTCACTCGTTGCCAATGCTTTGCTGAACGGTTTTAGAACAGCATTAGATCATGTTGCCCGCATGACAGAGGAGGAGGAGCAGAAGGAGGAGGAGGACAAGGAGGAGGAGGAAGAGGAGGAGGAGGAGGAGGAGGAGGAAACGGAGGAGAAGAGGTCGTGGTCCCTGGGGCCTCTTGGAGCGTTTTTGATGCCTCGGAGGATCCTCCTGGAGCCTCTTTGGTCTCTCATGGGGGCCTCTTGGGGTCATCTGTAGGCCCTCCCTGGTGAATCTGGGAGCCTCCCTGGTGATGCTCTACGCCTCTTTGGGCTCTCTTGGGGCCATCTCGGAGGAGATCGATAAAAAAAGGGGAAATCAATTTTGCGTGCCAGGCACGCCTGGTGCGCCAGATGCGCCACGTGCTGCGCGTGCGCCAGGTGTGCCGCATACTCCAGCCGCGCCAGGTGCGCCACATTCGGGGCACGTGCAGAGTGTCTCAGGTGCGCCTGCGCACGTGACAGCACACATCGGGAAACATGTCGGCCCCGACCATCCTTGTCGAAAAGGAATGCCCATCATTGTGTCTGGTGGGCCTGCGCACAGCAGGCCATACGCCACCATCCGCTCTGTCCCTGTCAAAAACCACTTGACAGTGATCGCGGGGTGGCCGCGCATGGTCCAGATTTAGCCGCGAGGTGCATGTTTCATTGTTCTGTCACAAGCAATACAAGCTGATCGCGGGCCCACGAACATGACTCATGACTTTGGCCCACAGGGTGCATTTCGTCATGTTTTTTTGATAGGGTGGTGTGGGAGGCCGCCTCGGGTTGGCCGCGCATGCTCCGAATCTGAAGGCAGAGTGCGTGTTGTATTGTTTTTTGACAGGGATGGTGGGGGGCGGCCCGCATGGTGTCCTCATGGTTCCTGGTTGGCTGCCGGTCGCCTGGGCGAGGGGGTGTATGTTAACAGGGAACAGTGATAAACCATGCCCCCGAGCAGGGGAAGGAGGGGCTGTGCCAGGGAGCTCCTTCAGACCACTCAGTCTCAAGGCTCGAGGGCTGGTGATTTTCAAGACGTGGCTCTCGCTTCAGCGCCGTGCTCCTTCGCTTTCAAGTCTGCACGGGTCTCGAGGATGATGGAGGGCGGGCCCTCTTCGAGCAAGGGCTCTCGCTTTAGCGCCGCGCGCATGCGTCTTGACACCTGCCACAGTTTCAAGGATGGAGGTCGGGTGGTTTTCGGAATGTGGTTCTCGCCTTAGCGCCGTGCGCAGTCGCCCTAAAGGCTCGCAGCAGTTTGAGACATTCGTAGGGTGGAAGTCCCAGGAACTGTGCTCTGGAACGAGTTAGGATTGAGGGGACGCAGCAGTCACGTTGATTCGTCGTGTTTATTTTTTGTCCCAGCGTTGGCGCTCTGAAGCGATTTAGGGTTGTCATGACGTAACTGTGAAGTTGATTCGCGGCGTTGAAGTCCAAGGAACGGTGCTTCGGCACAATTGGGGAGTGTCAGACGCTTGTTTTTCAATGGGGCAATTACCGCCATGGGAATACATGTTTGTAGGGACCTATGAAGAGGGAACTTGGAAGGGGAGTTTATGGCAACATCTGTGACTCGCCTTGGGCTTACACTGTTCATCCCCCAGAGCGCGTCCTGGCCAGGACTGCGAGAGGTGTCAGGGAGGCCCCCAAGTGGCGACAGCCAGCGCGAACGGGTAATCCCCACTTCGGCATGTCCATGCTTGCATCGGGGGGGTACGTCCCCGCAGACGCAGTTCCCTCCACCGCTCGCTCGAGCCTGGCGGGAGCCGCTGGCAGCCGGGGCTTCTGCGTCCGTGTTCCCCGTCAGGGCCAAGGCTTCTGAGAGACATAGAAGCACGGCCACCTAACGGCCAAACCTGAACCTCCTCCGCCTCCTCCTCCTCCTCTTGCGTTTCTTCCTCCTCTTCCTCCTCCTCCTCCTCTTCTTCCTTCTCCCTGGGATCCGACGTTGCGCAAAGACTGCAACTCCGCGAAACATCACAACTGGAGCCCTAGACCCCATCTTCCTGCCGCACTTTTCGATCTGGATCGATCTTTGATGGAACGGCTGGTGTGAGAAATTTGCAACGCCTGGATCTCAGGGTCCTCCTCCTTCTCCTCCTCTTCCTCTTCCTCTTCCTCTCCCTTCTCCTCCTCCTCCTCCTCCTCCTCTTCTTGTCGTTCCTCCTCCTCCTCCTCCTCCTCCTCCTCCTCCTCTCTCCTCCCTCCCACCTTCCACCTCCACCTCCTCCTCCTCCCCCCTCCTCCTCCTCCTCCTCCTCCTCCTCCTCCTCCTCCTCCTCCTCCTCCTCCTCCTCCTCCTCCTCCTCCTCCTCCTCCTCTCAGTATCTTTTTAACCGACCCCTCTCCCCTGTCACCGTCTTCATCCAGACCCCCACAGTGTTACGGGTGGTCTGGTAGGTAGCCAGTCTGAAGAGGGGCGGTGAAACGGGGACGGTGCTCATCCTCGGCCGTGGCGGCGGCGGCCGCCGCGCGGCGCGGCCGCAGTCCGACTGGGTGGGCGGCTGGGCGCCGACGCCGTGGGAGGACTCTCCGGAGGACGCTGGCGGCGCCCTCGGGGGGAGGGGGATTTTTCGTTGTCGCCAGAGGAGGAGGAGGAGGAGGAGGAGGAGGAGGAGGAGGAGGAGGAGGAGGAGGAGGAGGAGGAGGAGGAGGAGGAGGAGCGATGGGGTCCAAAACGGCTCCGACGAGTCGGCGCTTCAAGGATGGAATCCTGAGCGATGGGGCCTTCAGGATCTTAGAAGGGGCCAGAACGGCTCCGACGAGTCGGCGGTTCTGCAGCGCCGCGCCTGAGTTGGCCTGCTTCTCGGCTTGAGCATTTCCAGCACGTCGAGCCTGCGGAGACCCTGGAGCCCAGCAGGATCACGGTCCGAGTGGACCTTCGTTTTGGCAGCGTCCACCGCGCCAAGCTCTGGAAAGGAGTCTTGTGATGAGCGCCCTTATATCTGGCGCCAGATTTCTGCGTGGGGGCGGCGGCGGCTGAGAGCGCCACACTTCCCTGTGGGCAGCCTACTAGCCCAGTCCTGAGCGCTGGGGCCTAGGGCTCTGATGCCTTCCAAGTTGTCTCCCCCCGCCTTCCGGCCCCGCTCATCCCCGTCCAAGAGCGCACACCCCATCGCCCGTGCAACCAAAACCGGAGGCACCTTGGAGACAAGACGGGTGTCTCTTGTCATGGTAAGGATGGGTAATCTTGCCAGGGGCACCCCTGCATCCTTGCCTCCTCGGTCCGTCCTCGACCACTCGACGGCCAGCCCCGCTCGACAAGCTTCGGCATGGGCCTCGAGGCCCTTGCACCCTTGCCGCGCATCCCTGCTATCAGTTTGCACCGTGGCCATTTTGGCTCGAGCCCCTCGCGGGCCTCTCAGAGGCCTCCGGCGCCGCCCCTTCGCCGCGCGCCTCGCCGCGCCGCCGCGGAGGGGCCAGCCGCTCGGCGTCGGCTGCGCCCAGCCGTTCTGCGCCGGAGCCCTGGGCGGGGCCCCAGGTCGAGCCTCGGGGCCCCTTCGAGTCGGGCGACGTCCGCCGACCACCTCACCGACCATCGGTCGGATCACACAGCGACGACGGAATCGGTTGAAAAACGGCTCGCCTCCCCCCCTCCTCCTCTCCTCCTCCTCTCCTCCTTCCTCCTCCTCCCCCCTCCCTCCTCCTCCTTCCTCCTCCGTCCTCCTCCTGCCCCTCCCCCCTCCTCCTCTCCTCCTCCTCCTCGATCCTCCTCCTCCTCCTCCTCCTCCTCCTCCTCCTCCTCCTCCTCCTCCTCCGGTCCTGTGCCCAGGATCGGTGGGGTGGTCAGTTGACGTCGCCCGATGGAGGAGCGCGGTCCGAGCCGCCTTCGGGGGGAGGAAAGCCCACCCCGACGCGACAACTGGCGTTTGCTGAAGGGCCCTGGGCGTTTGCTAAACAGCCTTGCCCCGTTCGATTCCTTCTGTGGGTGCGCCTGCTGAGCGGCTTCGCGTGTCGGGGCGATCGTTCTGCGGGTGGATGTCCTGCCCTCTGCTCTGGGCCCGGAGGAACGCGAGGCCGAGGTCGAGCCTCCGTGCGCGGTCCGAGCCGCGGCGTTATATTATACAATACCTGCTTTTATTATTCTTATTATTAGACTTGTTACCATCATGATAAGTATCATTATTACTACTATTTGTATTGTTGGTAGTATTAGTATTATTACTATTCGCATTGCCATCTTTTTGTTCATTTATTTTTTGTTATATATATATATATATATATATATATATATGATTTTTTATTGATAATATTATTAATCGGTTTATTCACTTAATATTATTATGATTATTTGTTAATTTGTTGTTTTTTCCCGACTCGAGAGAGAGAGAGAGAGAGAGGGCCCGCCGCCGAGGCGCGCCAGGGACAGGCCTCCGCGAGAGGCGAGGCGAGGCGAGGCGAGGCAGGGCCCGAGCTGCAGAGAGCAGGGCCAGGGCCGCGCCGCCCTGGGCGCGGCCCCCCGGGGGCGCCGGGCGCCCCGCTCCGCCAGGAGAGCCGGCGGAGGGAGAGGTGCCCACACCTCGGAGTCGGGCCTGTCCCCCCACAGGGGGGATGTGCAAAAATAGTCCAAACATAGTCAGGGGACGTTTTTTTTGCTTTTTGTTTGTTGTGTTTTTTCTCAACAAAGAAATTAAGATGGAATATCTCTATATATATATATACAAACCATTTTGCAGTATATCGTTAAGTATGTTTCATTTTTCGTCGACGATCCCCCTGTAGGGGGGACACGCCCGACTTCACCACACCGCTACCCTTCCCTCATTTCCCCCTTCTTGGGCCTCCTCGGAGGCCCTCGTCGCCACCGCTGGACTCGCCCCGAAAGTCTGGTCAGAGCGCGCCCCAGGAGAGGTCCGCGGTATCGGCACAATTCGGTTTCCCAGAGAGGCCCCGCGGCGGCCACGGGCCAGCCAGGCGCTGTCTGGGAGACCTCCAGCGTGCAGCGGAGGCCCATGCCGAGAAGTACCCTGCTCGCCTTCAGGGTGCCCCAGGTTGCTCTCGGGTTTCGACGGTCTTACTGCGGAAGGCGTGGCGTTCCCACACCGAAGTGGAACGGACGTCCTGGAGTCTCAGGGTTGGGTTTCTTGTGGAAAATTTCTTGTGGTCGTAACTGAAGCAACTATTTTTTTCGTCGTTTTCGGCGTCCGTAGGCCGTTACTAAGGCGCGGGGCTGTCAGCAGCAACAGTGCGGGGATGTAGTCCCGGCCCCTGGGAGAGCATCGGGACTTCTGGTGACCCCGTATTGTATTGAACAAACCAGGACGTCGCAGGTTTGGGAACATGGATCCCGCCGATCCTCTCTCTTCATACCTCCATCGTGCTGAGAAAATGCATGCAGAGGTTTCTCTCGACGTGATCGGTCTCCAGGGGCCCTCGCCGGGCCCTGAGGCCCCTCCAGATCGGCTTTCGATGAGAACCCGGCCCTGGAGAGAGGGTCGGGACTTCGGGGAGCCCGTACCTACCGTTCGTTGAGAATATCAGAGGCGACCGTAGGGGCGAATAGCCCAGGGGAGAACGATACATGTATTCGGGTGCGCCGCTGATCTATGTCTTCGAAAAGGCTCCCGGGCGAATACGTGTAATGCCCGCCCCTGGGCTATTCGCCCCTATCGTCGCCACCGAGAGTATGTATACATATAACGGCGCACCGGGTCCGGGGGCCCGGGGCCGGGACCTCGACCGCAAATGTGCACCCCGGGGGGCCCGGAGGCTCGTCGGGGCTTGCCGGAGGCCTCCCCGGTCAGACAAGACTGCCCCAGAAACGCCCAAGACGGCCCAAGAAACTTCCAAGAGGCCTCCAAGAGGGCTCCGAGATGCTGAAGATGGCCTCCAGACGTCCAAGGACGCCCCCCAAGACGCCCCAAGAAGCCTCCAACATGCGTCCCAAGAGGGCCCCTAGACGCAAAAATTGGCCCATTCCCTTCGTAAAACGTACATTTTCAACAAAGTTGTCTTTTGGGCTTTCCGACGTTACAGGACGGCCCAAGAGGCGCCCAAGACCGCCCCAAGACGGCCCAAGAAGCTTCCCAGAGGGCCCCAGGACAGCCCAATAGGGCCCCAAAACGGCCCAAGAGGCGCCCAAGATGGCCCAAGAGGGCCCCAAGACGGGCCCAAGAGGGGGCCCAGATGGGGGACCACGAACCGCAAGCTCGAGCCTTCCGCCCCAAGAGGCCGCCAGGAGGCCCCCAGGAGGCCCCTCAAGAGGCCCCAGGAGACCCCAGACGACCAAGGACGCCCCCAAGAGGCTCCAAGAAGCCTCCAACATGCGTCCCAAGAGGGCCCCTAGACGCAAGAATTGGCCCATTCCCTTCGTAAAACGTACATTTTTAACAAAGTCGCCTTTGGGGCTTTCCGACGTTACAGGACGGCCCAAGAGGCGCCCAAGACCGTCCCAAGACGGCCCAAGAAGTTTCCCAGAGGGCCCCAGGACAGCCCAAGAGGGCCCCAAGACGGCCCAAGAGGTGCCCAAGATGCCCCAAGAGGGCCCCCCAAACGGGGGGCCCAAGAGGGGGCCCAGAGGGGGACCACCGAACGGCAAGCTCGAGGAGCCTTTTATATGCAGATGGGGCAGTTTTCCTCCCCGCCCCAAGAAGGCCGCCCGGAGCCCCCAGGATGCCCCTCAAGGAGGCCCCAGGAGACCCCAGACGTCCAAGGTCGCCCCCAAGAGGCCCCAAGAAGCCTCCAACATGCGTCCCAAGAGGGCCCCTCGACGCAAAGATTCGCCCATTCCGTTCGTAAAACGTACATTTTCAACAAAGTTGTCTTTTGGGCTTTCCGACGTTACAGGACGGCCCAAGAGGCGCCCAAGACCGCCCCAAGACGGCCCACGAAGCTTCCAAGAGGGCCCCAGGACAGCCCAAGAGGGCCCCAAGACGGCCCAAGAGGCGCCCAAGATGGCCCAAGAGGGCCCCAAGACGGGCCCAAGAGGGCGCCCCGAGGGAACCCCACGTGGGCCCAAGGAGGCCCAAGAGGGACCCAAGAGAGCCCCAAGAGAGCCCCAACATCGGTCACGCGGAAGAGCTCTCGCGTGACCGATGTTGGGCCCCCTCTTTGGGCTCCTCTTGGTGCTCCGAGAGGAGCCAAAGATGGCCCCACGAGGGCCCCGACGAGACCCCAAGAGGACCCAAGCAGGCCCAAGAGGGACCCAAGAGAGCCCCAGCATAGGTCACGCGGAAGAGCCCTCGCGGGACCGATGTTGAGCCCCTCTTTGGGCTCCTCTTGGAGCTCCAAGAGGGGCCCAAGATGGCCCCACGAGGGCCCCGAGGGAGCCCCACGTGGGCCCAAGGAGGCCAAAGGAACCCCAAGATGGCCCCAACATCGGTCACGCGGAAGAGCTCTCGCGTGACCGATGTTGGGCCCCCTCTTTGGGCTCCTCTTGGTGCTCCGAGAGGAGCCCAAGCTGGCCCCACGAGGGCCCCGTCGAGACCCCAAGAGGGCCCAAGGAGGCCCAATAGGGCCCCAAGAGGGCCCCAACATCGGTCACGCGAAAGAGCTCTCGCGTGACCGATGTTGGGCCCCTCTGTGGGCTCCTCTTGGAGCTCCGAGAGGAGCCCAAGGTGGCCCCACGAGGGCCCCGACGAACCCCAACAGAGCCCAAGAGGGCCCCAAGAGCGCCCCAACATCTCCTCTCCTTCCTCCTCCTCCCTCCTCTGCATCTTCCTCCTCCTCCTCCTTCTCATCCTCCTCCTTCTCCTCCTCCTCCTCCTCCTCCTCCTCCTTCTCCTCTCCAGGGGAATGAAAACCAGAGGATAGCTCACGGAGAGCCCAAGCACCCTCTTGTTGCATCCATCTTGGCTTCCAGATGGAGCCCAAGAAGGCCCCAAGGAGGCCCCTCAAGAGGCCCCAGGAGACCCCGGACGTCCAAGGACGCCCCCAAGACGCTTCGCGTCACCAATTTCTTCTCGCAACGATTCCTGGGTCTGTGACTCGACAGAACCTAAGCGCGCGCGAAGCGCGCGCGTGGTTCTAGTATGTATGTATGTGTGTATGTATGTATGGTTTGGCATGGTATGGCATGGTATGGTATGGTATGGTATGGTATGGTATGTATGTATGTATACATGTATGCATGTAGACATGCATGCATGCATGCATGCATATATGTGTATGCATGTATGTATGTATGTATGTATGTGTGTGTGTATGTATGTATGTATGTATGTATGTATGTATGTATGTATGTATGTATGTATGTATGTACGCATGCATGTATGTATGTATGTATGTATGCATGTATATATGTGTATGTATGACTGTCAGAGTGTATATATGTATGTATGCATGTCTGTATGTACGTATGTATGTATGTATGTATGTATGTATGTAGGTAGGTAGGTAGGTAGGTAGGTAGGTAGGTAGGTATGTATGTATATATGTATGTATGTATGTATGTATGTATGTATGTATGTATGTAGGTCGGTCGGTCGATCGGTCGGTAGGTAGGTAGGTAGGCAGGCATGCATGCATGCATGCATTTATGTATGCATGTCTGTGTATGTATGTATGCATGTATGTATGTATGTATGTATGTATGTATGTATGTATGTATTTATGTATGTGTGTGTATGTATGCATGTATGCATGCATGCATGCGTGTATGTATGTATGTATGCATGCATGCATGCATGTATGTATGTATGTATGTATGTATGTATGTATGTATGTATGTATGTACGTATGTATGTATGTATGCATGTATGTATGTATGTACGTATGTATGAATGTTTGTGTGTATATATATATGTTTAGGTGTATATATACATACACACATATATGTATATATATATATATATATACGTACACATATCGTGATCCCCAGATCCCACTCTATTTCAGGCGTCTTCGCGCGCGGGAGCCAGAGATCCCAGGCATCGAAAAATCAGGACGGAGGCTGTTTCCTCGTTTTCGGCCTCTGGAGGCCTTCGCTAGGCCCTGGGACCGTCGAAAAACGGCGGCGCAGGATGACAAGCCTGTACCCGGGAGTGGGTCCAGACTTCCAGGGACACTGTGTTGCACAGATCGCCGCATCGGACTTCCTCTAGGTACTGTGCGGCCGCCCCGGGTTCGCGACATGGGCCTGTGGCTGACCCAGGTTTAAAGGTGGCCCGGCCCAGCCCGTCCGCGAGGGGAGGGGTGAAGAAACAGGGGCTCGGGAGATATTGTGCAGCCGCCCCGGTTTTGCGACATAGCCGTGGCTGACCCGGGCTACCTGTAAGATCGAAATTGGAATTTCGGACGGGGCTAGGACGAGGGTAGAATCCGTTCGAGAGCGTTCTGGAACGCTCGTTCGGGAACGCTCTGAGAAGGCCGCGACGCCCGACGCGTCCTCCAAAGCCGCCAGATCTCAGAGATTCTCGATGCATCCCGAACTTCTCCTCGTCCTGGCTGGAACACAGGGCGACGAAGACGGACGGCAGTTCCTGCCCATCTTGAGCAAGACTCGCTGTCGGCGTCGCGCGGGCGCTGTCAGTGTGAGACAGAGATCGGCGCCACCCCGGCACATCTCTGCTACGTGGGCGCCGCCGCCCCCCCCCCCCCCCCCTCCCCCCCCAGGGGCGAAGCGTGCGCCGAGAAACCTTCGAGCGTAAGCTCCGTGGCGGGCGCTTTCTGGCCATGCCGCTCGGGAAACGATATATACTACAGGATGGCTATACCAATTCTCCGTTCGGGTCGGACGTGCGCCTCCGAGGTGTCATTGTGCGTCTCAAGAGAGGCGCCTGCTTAATAGCGGGCGCTGTTAACTTTGGGCAGCACCTGCCGTTGGGCATCGTGCTCATGTTTTCGTCCGCAACCGCTGCGGGCTTGCCAAGGCCAGCGCTGGCCCGTGCAGGCCCGTCCCCGAGGGGAGGAGGCAAAGGGAACTCGGGGAGGATCGAGAGCTTGGAATCGAAGAGCGAGGACCGACATTCTTGCATGCATCTTGTATTTCACGCCCTTTTTTGCCTCTGGAGGCTTTCAGGAGCCTTCTTCCCGAGATATCCAGGGACCTCCCAGAATATTTTTGCTTGTCAGATGTCCCTGCCGAGATATCCAGGGACCTCCCGACTTCTTTTTTGTCTGGTTGGTTGATGCATTCTCAGGCTTCCAGATGCCACTTCTTCCGATGGCCGCGGTTCTGTCAAAAGACGATGCAGAATGAGAGCCGGCACCATGGAAGAAAGAGGTCGAGATCTAGTCGAGTCTGACTCCCACGCTCGACCTCTGAGGTCCGATGTCTTGACTTCTTCAATTCGGGGTCCCAGGAAGTCTCGATCCCCTCCCTGGCACCAGCTTTCATCCTGAGTCGTTTTGGACGGTCCCGTGGCCAGGCGAGGGCCTCAACTCTAGAGCTCGAGGGAGGCCGAACGCCGAGAAAAGCCTTCGTTCTGTTCTTCCCATGCGTGGGATCTCTGGCTCCCGCGCGCGACCCTGGGCAAGGCGATTGTTGTTTATTCATTGCTTTGCTGATCGGCGCGGGCCCTCGCATCCCCCCCCTCCCCCCCCTGCCCTGTGTAGCAGATCTTGGCCGTTTCGGGCGCCTGTTCCAGGCAGCTGGAGCCGCCCCCTCCACAGGACGTACTGCTGCAAACAGTCGCACTACGCAGAGGTCCGGAGCCAGACCCCCCCCCCTTCCGCCCAATTGTCGAAACACCGAGTCAGAAAACGCTCACCAACGAAGTGCGAGGGAGGCCCGCGCAGCTTTCCGGAATGGAGGCGGAGGTCACCCGCAGGGGCGCGGAGCCGCTCAACCGCGCCTCGCGCGCCGCGGCCCCGAGCGGCGCAGGAGCCCCCCCTCTGTCGTCCTCCTCCTGTTTTCCTCCTCCTCCTCCTCCTCCTCCTCCTCCTCCTCCTTCTCCTCCTCCTCCTCCTCCTCCTCCTCCTCCTCCTCCTCCTCCTAGGAGTCCCGGTTCCGCCGCTTCGTGGAGCGCTTCCACCTCGGCCCCCAGCGCGCGTTCCCGCAGCTGCCGGCCGCTCAGCCTCGCCTGCGCCGCTTCTCCTCCGCGCCCCGCTTCCTGCTGGGTCCTCCCTGGGTGGCCACGTCAGGAGGAGGTGCAGGAGGAGGAGGAGGTGCAGGAGGAGGAGGAGGAGGAGGAGGAGGAGGAGGAGGAGGAGTGAGGAGGGAGGAGGAGGAGGAGGGGGAGGAAGGAGGGAGGAGGAGGAGGGGGGGGGGGAGGAAGGAGAAGAGGAGGGGGTTAGAGGGGGGGGGGAAGAGGAGGCGGAGTGATCTGGCGCGCGGGCGGAGGCTGCGTCGCGGCATCGGCTGCTGCTGTCGGCGCTGATTCGTCTTCGCCGGGCTGCTTACCTGCGCTGCATCAACTGCGGCGCCCACGATGCATCGGCGGTATCGAGGATCGAGGTTCGAGGTTCGAGGTCTTCGGATGTTTTCGCCGGGTCTTGTCGGCTCTCCCGCTTCGGGATATCCTCCAGCAGCTGCGCCTCGCCGAGGGCGTTCCAGGGGTTGTCCGGAATCTCCCAGACGGCCGCTTGAGAACGGAGTTTTGGCCCGACCAGGCAGCGTCAGGCGTTCGGGGGGGAGAGGCTCAGCGGGGGATGCATCGACCCCCATCGGGCGAAGAGAACGATGCACATGCATCGATTCTGGCCAAGCCCATCTTGGGCCCAGGATCGGTGCATATGCTTTCCTGGCCAAGGCAGGAGGGCATATGCACCGATCCTGGGCTCAGAATGGGCCTGGCCAGAACCGGTGTATGTGCATAGTTCTCTTTCCTCGACCCCCAAGCGCCCATTCGGTGCCGACGGGGGCCAGATTCGTTATCGACTCTCTCGCCGATCTGGCGGCGAGGCACCGCCGACTCCGGGTCGATTGTCCCCCCCCAGGCCTGGGCCTGGGGGGACCTGGGCCCCACCCCTCCTCCTCCTCCTCCCCTTCCTCCTCCTTCCTCCTCCCCTGTCCTCCTAAACCCCCTCCTCCTCCTCCTCCTCCTCCTCCTCCTCCTCCTCCTCATCTCCTCCTCCGCCTCCCTCCTATCCTCCTCCCTCCTCCCCCTCCCCCTCCCCTCCCTCCTCCACCACCTCCCACCTCCCTCCTCCCTCCTCCCTCCTCCCTCCTCCCCTCCTCCCGTCCCCCTCCTCCCTCCTCCCTCCTCCCCTCCTCCTGCTCCTCAACCGGCTCCTCCCTGCGCCTCCCTGCTCCTCCCTCCTCCTCCCTCCTCCGCCCTCCTCCGTCCTCCTCACCTCCTCCTCCCTCCTCCTCCCTCCTCCTCCCTCCTCCCTTCTCCTCCCTTCTCCTCCCTCCTCCTCCCTCCCCCACTCCCCGAGACGGTCCTGGTCCACTGCTTCGAGCTATGGCCCGACCGGGGGACAACGTTAGGCGCTAGGGTTGAAAGTCGGGCTTGCCCCTTCTACAGGAGGAGTATCAAACAACTCGTCCACAATCCGTCTGGAGGAGGACATGCCCGACCTGACGCTGGAGAGGCTCTGTGAGGGACGGTCGTATCGGCCCATCGGTCGCCCAGGGGCCGCCGACGGGTGCCGGAGAGAGCCCGCCCCGCCTGGGACCGTGCAGGCCTTTTGCTCTCGGAGGGGGCCCACTGCCGATCCATCGGCGATGTTCGGAGAACAAAAAACAGTCAGGAGGGGAAACAACACATAGACGCAATCATGCGTCGATTCCCCAGAAGATACTGGAAAATATGGTGAGTGGGGGGGGGGAAGACGAACATCCAAAAATATGGGGATTTGAGCCCGAGGTCGTTTCCACTAGACCGCGTTTTGCTAAAGGGTGGTTCTGTCCATCCCCGAACAGGCGATCGCAAACATGGATCAAGGGATCAAGGGGGCGTGGACTAGCGACGCGCCCCGTTTCCAAGGCGGCCCTGGCCGCACGTCGGGGATGGCACCTCCCCCGACCCATGGATTTGGCGACCGCGCGCCGAATCCATGGATCGCTAATCTATGTTTACGCGCTCCCGAAAAAACGGCAACAACATGAACTTTCGACGGTCGGCCCACATGTCTTGGAGGACCGCCGACAGTTTATGTTTGCGTTTTGGGAATAACGACCATCATACCTGCTTTACCACGGCCAATCAATGCATTCTGTTTTTATGGATGTCATTCCATGCGTGGCATGCTCTCCCCCTCCCCACACTCCCTCCCCGGTGCGCGGAGCCCGCGGTTCAAGGGGGACCACAATTGGTGACCCAGGGAGGCAACCTTCCTTCTCCTGCCGCTCCTCCCCTGGCCTCCCAGATGGTGTCCGAGCAGATGTCGTCGGAGGCTTGCGATTTGGAGCCAGATTTTCTTGCGCTGACGTCGTCGATGCATTGCCGGCGAAGCGTTGGCGATGCGGCACGATCCTCCGACCCCATCGGGCTCGTTTGGGAGGTCTCTGTTCTCTCTTTCGTCCTGCTCTCCACTGGCATCCTCTTCTCGTGGCGGTGTCGGAGGCGCCGCAAGGGGTATCTTGGGAGGGTTCGTGCGGCGAGCCAAGACATCCCGGCGGGCCTCCGAGAGCTTATGCTCAAGTGGGGCGTGTCCCTGCACAGGAAGAATATTCAAAAGTAGTAAAAAATCGTATGGTGTCGATTTGTTTAAAGATTATGTTTGGTCATTTTTGAATATGTTTGACTATTTTTAGTTTTCGTCCAAACCCGCCTGTAGGAGGACGTGCCCGATGCAAGCTTATGCCTGTGAGTTGTCTTGTTCTTCTACCCCCCCCTCCACCCTTCCCTTCCCTCCGAGCCGATTCTAGGCATTTGCTGCAACGACCGGCGGAAGCGCGCAATGACGTTTTCACCTGCCCCTTAGGTAGTTCAGTGCCAGGTGATTTGGACCATCATCCCCTCTAGTTGTACCACCTTTTGGACTAGCCAGGCCAGACCCTCGCCCTGATCGGCTCCGCGGTCTTGGCTGATCGTCCAGCCCCCCATCGCGGTGATGGATCTCTTGGGTCTCCCTCTTCTTTCCAGACCGCGGCCTGTAGCACGCGGCCACGCCCTGACCGTCTCCTCCCCTCCCCTCTGTTATCTTCCCTGCTGCTGCTGCTTCTGATGATGATCCTCCACCTCCACCTCCTCCGCCATCACACTCCTCCCTCCTCTTCCTCTCTGCCTCCTAGTCTCTCTTGTTTCTCCTCCCTTCTTCATCCTTGTTACCCGCTCGTCGTTAGCACAGCTCTTTCGAGTATCTCTCAGACGCCTGGCCCTCTTTGCTGCACCCTTGCGGAGATGTTCCACGGTTTGGGATCGGCGCGGTCGGTGACGTCTGGCCAGGTTGAATCCCACCATGCAGTACCGGATGCTGCGGACTGCTGCGGAGACCGATTTACCGCAGCTTGCTACGGGGGGGCGAGGGCTTGTCAACAACCACGGGGCCAGAGCCACTGCATAATTAAGCCTTGGGTTGAAACATGTGCCTGTTCACCCTCGACGGAGGATGATGATGAGGGAGGGGAGGAAACGGAGGGGCCCGGGGTCTCTTTGATGTCCCTGCAGGGGCTGGGTAGGACGTGGAACTCCTGACGGCTTTCAGCTGCATTATTCCGCTCATCATCATTCGGTGTAGCCGAGAAGCATTACGGAGATGCCCATGACGGCTCTCTTGTTACAAGGAGGGCGCCGATCACTGCTGCATCTGACAACCATTGTGTTGTTTGACATTATGCTAGTCAAGCTGGTTTACGAGAGAAGGGCTACTTAAGGTTGTACTCTCTAGGTTCGCCGTGCGCAGGTGAAGGCGCAACCAACGCAGGGAGGCTGCTGAACCAAGGCATTTGGCGGTTGCATGGTGGGATCTCGGCGGAAGTGGGATGCTGAGCTACGTCGATTTGTGCCACTCTCTTCCCTGCCAGGATGTTCGGGCGTGAGCTGAAGAGCTGACCCAACTTGGGCAGTGCGACGCCAGACAGACCGCGGTCGACCTACCCAGAGATCGGACGTCGCGAACAAACATCGAGCATCGCGAAGCATCACGAGCGGAGACCTCGACCAAATCTTCCCGCGACAGCTCTCGAGGCCAGATCGAGCCGCGAGCGCCCCCGGGCCCGGATGTGGGCGAAACATCGCTGGGCGCGAACCCATTGCGACGACCAGACCTCGGGTTGCTTGGCGGCGCGCAGAGGGGGGTAGGGGGGAGGGGGGAAGGCTTCTCAGATGTAGGATGCAGCTTAGGAGGCGCCGGCCTTACATCCACATAGAGAAGGCCCGCGCCTTCTGAGAAGCAGGGGTGCTTCCGAGAAGCCTTCCTCCCTTCCCCTACCCCCCTCTGCGCGCCGCCGAGTTGCTGCGGGCCAGGCGGCCTCCATCGAGCGCAAGACCGCGCAGGGGCGCGGACCTCCGCCGAGTGACTGCGCGCGTGAGCGCCCTCGACCGGCAACAGGCGTGACTCGATGTCGGCGAGGCGCGCAGGCCGAGCCGCCCTCAGCCCAGGCCCCCGTCGCCTTGCACCGCGCCTCCTCCTCCAGCCTGCTGGGCTCTTGGGGCTCCTCGGCCCGAGCAGCCCAGGTATCTTCGAGCTTCGAGCCTCGAGCCTCGAGCCTCGAGCGCCGTCGGCGTCGTCGCCGCTGGCGCCCGGACCTCACATGGCTCGTCGTGGCGATCGAGGTGGGTACGGAAAGAGTGGGTGCGAGGCTCAACAGCGTTTCCGGTTCCTTTTGAACAGGACTCGCTGTTTACATCGCCGCCCCGGACGTTTTGTTCGTGGGAGACAAAAAGCCGCCTGCCCGACAGCGGCCGCTGTCGGTTTTGGACAACCTTCGTGATTGGGCCCACTTCGGGCGCTCCACCCTGGAGAGGCTCGGTGTGGAAGTCTCTTCTCTCCCCCCTTCGGCCTCCGGAGGCCCTCGCCGGGCCCCCGGGCCGTCAACACCCGGCTCGGAACGAGAGGCTGGCCCCTGGGAGGGGGTCCATGCTTCCGGGGGCCCCGTGCTTCGACTGCACGTTAGAGCGACCCTTCGCTGGAGTGGCCTGTGGTGCGGGCCAGCTGGGGTCCTCCGACCGCTGAACTCTAGGCCTCCTAGATGGGGTCCGAGCAGGTGTGGTCGGAGGATCGCGCCGCATCGCCGATGCATCGCCAATACATCGGCGGTTCATTGGCGATGCGGCGCGATCTTTCGACCACACCTACTCGGACCCCATCTAGGAAGCCTCTATGAACACGTACGCGATGCGACAGCATCGGCTCGGCGCTCTGTCGAGGTCCTCGCCCGCCCCCCAGGGTGCCGCACTGCGGTGGCAAGCCGCACCCTGTGGAGGCCGCGCCCTTGGGAGTCGCCGAGGGCTCCCCCCCCCTTGTGCAGCCTTCAGGGGCGACGTCAGGGGGCGAAGGTCGATTTTCGAGGCTTTCGGATATTTCCACCGCTCGGGGGCTCTCCAGCCTCGGGATGCCCTCCAGCAGCTGCGCCTCGCCGAGAGCGTTTCTGAGGCGCCCAGATCGACCTGAAGGGCCGCTTGAGAGCCGAGTTATGGCTCGGAGGCCAGGGGGCAACGCAGGGCGTTAGATGGGAGAGGCTCAGCGGGGGATGCATCGACCCCCAATCGCCCACATCAGTGCTGATGGGGGCCAGATTCGCTACCGAGTCTCTCGCCGATCTAATGGCGATGCATCGCCGATTCCAGGTCGATGTCCCTCCCCCCCCAAGGCCTGGGGCGGAGAACTGGGTCCTGGGAGTCCGTCCAGGCCACTGCTTCGAGTTCCTCCTGGCCCCGGCAATGGGGGCGGGCCCAGATCGCCGTGAGGGAGCAGGGTCCTGAGGGGGGGGCCGCCCTGGGCCGTCCAGGCTCCCTGCCCGTCGGAACCGACCGAGGATGAGAGGATGCTCCAGGACCCGTTTCCCTCGGGACCCCCGTCCCTTGCCCCCGATGCCGTGAGCCTTTCGCCACGTGGGCCCCCAGAGGTCTAGAGCCTTCCCCCGGGACCGTTGTTTCATCCCTCGGAGCGTGAAATACCTACCCCGCTTTCGCTTCCAGGAAGAACCAAGTCATACCACGCGCCTCCTCGTCAAGCGGCCTGACCAGTACAGGCCGTAGTTTGGCATCGTTTGGTATCTCTTGGAAGCGAGGGTGGTCAAAAGCGAGGTAGGTTTGTTTTTCCCCTTAATCCCGAGTCGCTTTTCGATGGTCCCTGGGCCCGGTGAGGGCCCCCCCCCGGAGGCCGAAGCGTGCCAGACGGAGCCCGCCCGTCGCGACCCGAGCGGGCCTGCGTGCCCCGCTGCGCCCTTCGGCCGCTCCCGCCCGCGTCGGGGCCTCTGCGAGGCGGCTCTCCACCTACGAGGAGGAGGAGGAGGAGGAGGAGGAGGAGGAGGAGGAGGAGGAGGAGGAGGAGGAGGAGGAGGAGGAGGAGGAGGAGGAGGAGGAGGAGCAGGAGCAGGAGCAGGAGGAGGAGCAGGAGCAGGAGCAAGAGGAGGAACTATCTGAAACTACTTGCCCACGGACCTCTGCCCTCACGGTTTTTTGTAGCGTCGGGCTGGCTGCCGGTGGAAGGCACTTCAGCCCGACGCCTCTGACGCTCCTCCCCCCCCCGGGTCACCCGCTTGTCACAATCGGGGCCTCTCGCCGCCCTCAGCAAGCGCTGGGCAATGGCCTGCGTTCGCTGCTCCTCCGCCTCCTGACGCAGAGCCTCTCTCTCTCGCCAGTCCTTGCGGGCGCGGGTGACCTCAGGGGGCTCGGTGGGGGGGGCCGCCAGTCTGGCCACTGCTCTCCCCTCCGTCCCCGTCCGACGACTCCAGCCGACGACCTCCCCGAGCAGCCATGGCCAGACCGACGGCCTTGGGTGGCCCCTCCCGCCGAGGAGACAGATTCTGCTCGATGCGCCGCAGGTCCCCCACTCCGTTCGGAGTGAGTCCCAGGCAGCTCCCCCCGAGGAACCGTGCATCGACGGTAGCATACCATGCCGCAGGCCGTGCATGCGTGCAGGGACCCTGTGCGCGACCAGCGTGGCCGGGTGCGACGGGCGAATTTTCCGAGCGGGGCCCCCGACGCCGAACACACACTCCCTCGGTCCCTGGGATTTGGCACCTGGGGGGCCCTCGCAAGTGGTGGCCGCACACCGACACAATGTGGAACTCGAGACAGGGCTGGACCCAAGCGCTGTTTTGCTGGACGTCGGCTGTGTTTTGTGTTTCGTTTTGGAGGGGAGGTACAGCAAAACAGGTGGAGCAAACCGAACAACAAAACGACAACATAACGAAAAGCAGCGTTTAGGTCCAGCCCTGACTCGGGACCGCCACCTCGCACTGAGAGCAGCACCGCTTGCTTCCAGCTCTGCCGAGTTGGCGAGGTGAGTCCCCAAGCGTACGCTCTGGCTTCGGCAGCTTCTGCACAGGGGGTTGGGCGGCTGGCTCTCGCTCTCTCCCGCCTCCGGCGAGGCGGCCAACCTCAGCGCCCTGCGTGCTCTCTTGCGCACCACTAGTCAGGAGGGGGAAAACACACACACAGACACAATTAATCGTCGACCCCCAGGAAAATATAGGAAAATATGGGAAATTTTGGGGAAGAAGACAACAACCAAGAACATATGCGAAAACATAGGGAATCTTTTGATTTGTGTGTATTTATTTGTGTGTCCCAGGGCCCCTTCAATTAGCGCAATGGAGTCGATCCGATCCGTTTCGGGCGCCCTGCCCACCAAACCCTCCTCCCACGCCAGCTCCGCCCCCGTGCGTTCAGGTCTTCTGGCCTCTCATCCGGATGAGAAGGGACCCAGGTGACCTCTGCCTCCTTGCACTGGCGGTTGCTCCAGGCGTCTCTGGCGCGGGGCCCAAAGGTCCTCATTGGATCCCGTGGCCCTGGGGCGCTCCCAACGGACTCTCCAGGTTCTCGCGACCGTCCGATGGTCAGTGACAGAGACGAAGCTTGACCGAAGCTGCTCCAGCGCGAGCACGAACGATCACATCTCAGCTCCAGGTACAGTGTGCCTGGGGCCCAGGAGAGGGACGGCCAGTGCAGCGCCCACTCTCCACTCCCCATCTTCCTCCGCAGGAGGGGGAGGTGGAGGAGGAGGAGGAGGAGGAGGAGGAGGAGGAGGAGGAGGAGGAGGAGGAGGAGGAGGAGGAGGAGGAGGAGGAGGAGGCGAGGGACAGGGAGAGAAGGGGGGCGTTGATGGCTGCTATGCTGGCTCCGCACCGCCTTCGCCAGGGGTCGGACGAGCAGCGGCCTCCAGAGCCATCTCCAAAAGCGTGGGGCTGCTGATTAAATCTCTGCATCCCTCCTCCTCCTCCTCCTCCTCCCCTCCCCCTCCTTCCTCCTCCTCCCTGCCTCCTCCTCCTCCTCCTACTCTGCATCCCTCCCAGTCCTCCACCGCTCCAAAACTCACCTCCCTCCCTTCTAGAAGACCCTCATCGAAGCGAGGGTGGTGAGGGGGGCTGGCGGCAGTCCTCGAAGCCACAGAGCAGGCTCAGAGTCCGCTTGCGTCATCGCAGCGGGGACGAGGGAGTCCGTCAAATGGAAGTCCTCGTAGTCCGTGTTCTTGGGGCACAGCCAGATCCTGTGCATGAGGGTCTCCTCTGCCTCTTTGCATCTGTCGCATATCCTGCTGGGTATGAAGTATCCGCTGTCCGCTGCCCTGGTCTTGTTCCACTGCCCGCCTGTGACCACTGCCACATTTAATCCAATCGTATCCAGTTGTTCTTTCTTCTCGAAGCGTTTGTGCTTAGCTCGGATCTGCCAAACATCAGCTCCATGGTGTAGTCCAACTCCTTCAGGGTGCTGAGCTGTTTTCGCCCACAACTGTTTGGTAATATCCTCCACGAAATCGTCGATGAGCGGCTGGAAGCAACCGTTTGCCTCGAAGGTCCCGTCCAGCGACGAGGGGATGTCCCACTGCTCCGCCATGTCTTCATCTCCGACAGCTCGGGACCAGCTCGTCGCCGTCGGCGCATA